TTCCATTTCCAACTACTTTCCCAATTTGACCTAGGTAGAGGAAAACCCCCTTCTTGTGAAGAGGCTTTCAAAATCTGGGTTTCCTTGGCCTAATTGAGTCACCTACCTAGGAAAACTTAGGGCATACCTCTTACTACGTTTAAGCACCTTGTGTTGGTTGCGATTTAGCCGTCTGGACTTTGGTTCAAGGGTGATGCCTTGGCAACCCTTAGACGATTGGTTAAAATAGTTACCGAGGTAGCTTGATTGTTTCCCTTGGCTGATTGGCTAAGAGAGTCACCTATGTAGCTTGGCTTGTAGCCCATTAGCCAATTGATCAAGAGAGTGAACCCGATTCACTTGTTGCGCTTCCTTATGGTTAGTAACCACCTTTACCATACACGTTCATTCGGTTTAACTCACCTTTATAGCTAGCTAGTGGGAACAACACCCGGGTGAAGCCTTCTCAACTGATGTTCACACCATTTACTTTTCCTATCACTTTAGCTTTGAATCGTAGTTCCAACCAAAAATCAATTGCTAGATAATATTAAAACAATCGAACTAAGGGTACATGGTCGGCCCGGGTTTGGCTTTTAAAACATACATTTCCTATATTGCACCCAATTAAGGTTTATACTTGGGCCTTGATTGGGATTTTTATTGTGGTATTCGAGACGAGTTAATTACTTTATATTTTTCTTAGATTTTTATTTAACAATGTTGTTAATTTGTACCAATGCCGAAGGCAATTGCAAATTCACATGTTGATGCACCAAAATAGCGAACAAACCTAGGAGGATTTGGATAAGCTTTGAATGACCATGGCGAACTACTGGATCTAAAGAGAGAAGAATATGGAGTTTTAATGTAAACAATGAGGTCCAATGACGGATAAACCTACTAGTAACCACGAGTAAAGCCCAACATGAGCTTAATGGAAGAAGACTCAGAGCAAACCAATTCATGAACCAGTGGCGTCTAGTGTTGGATCCAACCGCATCCCAAGCAGACTTGGTCAAATCACGGAGAAATTTTCATCAGAGATTGCTTATAGACCAGGGACTGCAGCCCACGAAGAAATGTAATGGTGGTTCCAGTTGCCACTCATGGGCCCAAGCCCAATTGAGGTCCAGAAGGCCTTGCTTTGGGCGCAAGTTAGTAAGACCTTATCCTAGTCGAGTTATGAATGTTTTGGTCCTCTAGAGTTCTTCAATGCTTTATCCAAATTTCTTAGGTTGCTTTGTACCTTCAAGATCATTAAAAAACATACCAAGGAGGCATCAAAGAATACAATAACATTACCTACGTCTATTAAAGGCTCATTGATCAAATAATTATGATTTAGAGAAGAAATATCATTGCAATAATCAAAGATACATTGGTATAAGGGAAAATGTATCAAGAATGGGAGTGACAACACGACGACGATGGCTGCGTGCCTGAGCTCTCCACTGGTGGGGAGGAGGAACCCCTAGCGGGGTTAAAATATCTGGTATGTCATCACGAAGCACGCCTCACTAAGCATGACCGTAGAGATGTCACTCATCATCTTCTTCTTCTTCGTGAGGATATCCTTGAGGAACTTTTCATGCATGGGCATCTGGTTCATAGCCTCCAAGAATGGAAAATTGATATGCAGTTGCTTGAGCATGCAAATGAATTTCCCAAACTTCTCCTCCAAGAGGTCTTTATGCATCATGGTGTAAGAAGGCAGCTGAGGCTTCTATCCAGCCACTATTGGCTTCAGAGTTAGCGTTTTAGCCTCCACTTCATTTTCCTGCTCCGTCTCCTTTGCTAATTTTGGTTGAGAGATTGCCACACGGATATGGCGCTGAGGAGGGAAATCTCCTGTCACCTTCCCACTCAGCAACGAGATGGTGTGTAGTGATTCGCTCAGATCGTGCTTGCCCGAGCATCTCCTTAGAGCTCGGGTAGTAAAGGCTTTAGTCAGGTTCACCATTTGAGCATCCAGATTCTACATAAACACCTGATGCTCTCTCATCGTTGCTTCAAGGGAAGAAAACTTCTTTGCATCTATACCATGAACCTGTCAATAACCCCAAATTGCTAAATGTTGGTTAGCCTTTCTTGAATAGGGTCAGTCTGGGATGGGCTCCGTTGAGAAGCGGGGAAAGAGTATGGCTGCTGGATCTACTGCTGCTTGAAGGGGGTTTCTATTGGAACTCTAGAGGGTCTTGGAGTGTAGGTGGCCTCAGATTTTTTGGTGCACACCAAGCAAAGTTGGGCTGATTTTGCCCACCTGAATTGTAGTTGTCGCCATGCTGGTGCCGGATTGAGCATTGGTAATGAAGTCCACTTGTTCCTGAGGGGTGGTAGCATGTAGCATGGCCTGGAAAGCCTCCAGTACATGGTTAGTGCTCCACAAGGTAGTGCCTGAGAGATTGACCATATCACAGATGTAGTCTTCTTCTTGATCAACCTCTGAGGATGCTTTTGGTTGTAGCCTCGAAGGAAGTATATGGGTACACCTGTAAAAATCATCTGCTCCTTGTCTTTGAAGCCCGTCTAGGGATTTTAGAGTCATGGCCTTGAGCATCCATCTCCTCAAACAAGTGAGTCATATGAGATGGGATCTAGTCTAACATTTCTCCCTTTTATAAAGAGTCTATGAGCTAGCGATCTTTCTGGAAGAGCACGGGGTAAAAGGTACCCACCTTGAAATTATCATCACATTCTTTGTGTGGGCACTTCAAGAACATACTAGAATATCTCTCCCACGCATCTCGGAGGGTCTCATCCATAGTTATGCTTTATTCATTATATAAATTACGCATTAATGCATTATTGAGATATTTTCCCACCTAATGATAATGTTCTTCTAAACTAATACGATATTGAGATTTTTTCGGAGGGAATGAAGGAGTTAGATGCTTCTTCTTTTCTTTCCTTTGGTCCAATTGTTACATTGGTTAACTCGGTTAACCAATTAACCAAACTGATTAACCGTTAGTTTGATTAAGTTCATTGTTGTATTAGTTTGGTCGGTTTGGTTTTTATATTTTTTCATGGTTAATAGAATTTAACCTTAATTGGATTGGTAATCACCATGGTAACCATTTAAATACTCCTATATGATGTAGTACATGAGTGCAGTCATCTGGTGCATGCCTTAGTGGTGTCTTGTAGCTAGGAGAGAGGTGTTGCTCTAAAAATACTAGGTCATCTTTATGCGAAAGGTTGTAGTATGGGCAATGTGAGCCTTGGCTAGGTAGGACGGCCAGTGGTGCAATTTTCTTCAAAGACCCCCTCACGCTTATGAGTGCATTTTTTTTTGTTCCATCTGTGCGTGGAGTTCCTTCGTGGAGATTTCTGGCCTCTCTTTTCTTCGATCAACAAATATTGCAATCTAGCGAATGTCAAAGATCCTCTGATTGGTTATCGCCTTAAGTGGAGTGACTTTGTTGGCCTGGGATCTAGGAAGGATGGTCTGCAACAGTTTCTTGTTTCCCTGATAAACTCACGACCCCACAATTCCAAACAAGGTGTCTGAAATCGTACCAGAGACTGTATCAGAAAAGTCATCGATATAGTATTTTATGATGAAATAGTGGTTTAACCATAGTTCATTCGTTAACCGACTACATATTTAGCCTCGGATAGTGGTATTTTGTGGTTGAACCTCGTGTACGTCACGATTTCACAAACCGCACCATTCACATTTCATCAATTCTTTACTATTTTTCTTCATAATTGATGCAAAATATAAATCTTCTTCTCAATTCTTGAAGATGAGCCGTCAATGAAGGATGGTTTTTCAATTTGTAGCACATTGCCCCTCCTTATACTCTTTCCTCGCCTACCATCACCCCAATCATAGCTATTGAGAGCCATATATTTAATTAGCCTTGCAATTTGCCTACTTCTTTGTGTTTTGAATAGCTCCTCCATTGGCGACATCAATTAAATTACGCAATTCATGAGTTAGCCCATTATAAAAGCTTTTCACTTGTAGCCAATCGGCTATGCCATGGTGTGGGAACTTGATTAGAGAGAGGTGAATCTTGCCCAAGCTTTGAATAATGGCTCGTCTTCCTCTTGTCTAAAAGTTGGTATTTACTTCTCGTCAATGTTGTCTTTGAAGGTGGGATGTCTCTTGTGAAGAAATTGTCACATAGATCTGTCCAAGAGATAATAGAATAATGTGGATGGTAATCCAACCACTGGTTTGCCGCTCCACACAAGGTAAAAGGAATAAGTCTTAGTCTGATCCTTCCTTATACTCTGTTTACTTTGATACTATCCGTAAGCTCATAAATTGCTTCGATGTGAGCACGTGCATACTCGTTCATAAACTCTTGTAATTGAACCTCATTCTGGATCATAGTAATCGTCCCCGGTTTGATCTCGTAATTTTTTTAGGGATACTAAGGTGACGAATCAAAGAATGCAAGTTCTTCACACTCACCCTTGAGAATGACCCCCATGGTCCTCGGCCTCCGTGGAGTTGGATGCTGAGGTTGAGGTTGTGGGTTGAGATTGAGGTGGTTGTTGTTCCACCGTCGGTTGATTTCAGAGTCTTGCTATTCTTCCACAACATTCAAGGGTTCTCTCAATCTCCATATTAAGAGGTACTGTATCAAAAGAATCTCTCCTTTGCATACAAATCAACTTAAAAACAAAAACTAAACACTCGTGACATACAAAGGGGGTAACAAAAACAAGAGAAGATTAAACTACTATATATAAGCATAAAAGTAAGACTAAACTAAACACTCGTGTCAATTGTTTGCACGGTCTGACTAACTATCCCATTCGGAGCCAAGTATAATCCAAAATGGCATTGCTAATATAGTGGTGACCAAACAATTGAACATTTGAACCTGAACCCAATGAACACACAATCCAATTTAACCCAAAACCCGACTAACCCGCAATCCAATGAGCCCAATATCCAGCTAACATGAAACTAGGAATGGCAATGGGTCTAGAACAGGTCGGGTACCATGATACCTGGACCTGTCCTGGCCTCTAACAAAATGCCCCAAACTGCCCCAAAGCCCGCCACGTGCTTGACACGGCCGACCCATAACCTGACCCACACGGGGCAGGTAAGACCCGCCCTGACCTGCCACAACTACTTTGAACATCTTTGACAAGATTTTCATTGTCCTATACGGTACACAGAATTCATAACTTGTCCAACTATAATTCATGACTGGTGACAAAACCCAGAATTCCAAAACGCCGAACATCTTTCTTCAACTGAAATTAGAAATGTTTGTCAAAATTATTCGTCAAAAGCTGAAAACAAAATATAGAATCTGCTAGGTTGCATCACCACTGCTGGAATCGCAAACTTGAAAATTCTTCAAGACCTCAGCTTCTATCGGTGAATCTTCATTTTTGCAAGCTACTCAGCAACTCAATTCATCTGCTTAATCAACCTTCTGCAAGCTGCATCACGTTATAACCAAATATAAGAAAACAAACATGCAGAGAATAAGTGAGAGAAACAAGCAAAGGAACAAAAAGAGGTAAGTTAAGATTTGCAGAAACATAATAGAAGCTTTTATTTCTTTACCTCAATCATCATTCTTCAAAATTGATGTTTCTAATTCCTTACTCAACTTTGACATAGCTTCATCTTGCTTGTTGGCAGGCTACAATGCAAGTAAGACCTACATAAGTATAATGAATCAATTGAACCAGTTCAGAAACCAGCAAATAAATTAACTAGCTAAGATCTGCAGAATATCAACTGAAAGGCAAAAGCTAACAATAATCAATAGAAGAATTAAATCAAGAACTACTTGATCTTTACATGCAATCATATACAAACAAGAAACTGTTTTCTGAGTTCTTACCTTCTTAGTGACTGAAACACTAGGCCTTCTTGTGATATTGGAAAGGAAGCGATAATGACAGTGGACTAGAGTTAAAAGATGGGGTGGGTGACAACAAAGTTGAGTTGTGGAAAATGAAACCCTAAAAGCCTTGGGTGTTTCTCATTCATCTTTGGTTTTAAATAGTCCAAGAGTGACACTACAAGACAAAGGTGTGTCACCTTGCTTTTGAAGAACAAAAGATAAAACATAACTAAAACTAAATTCTAAACAAACATTGACATTAAACTAAATTTGATGATGATGATTTCCTCTAAACCTTGTCGATCCACTTTGAAATTCATGGTCGCCGGTTCGAGTCTTGATGATCTTTCAATATCTCCTGTTACCCACCCCGCCCCCCCCCCCCCCCCCCCCCCCCCCCCCCCCCGCGCGCGCAAGCGGGTGAGCACATAATATGCACACCAAGCTTGGAGAGGATACAGTTTTGACTTGAGAATGTTGCTGCACTGTTGGCTAACTAACTTCCCTTCAATCTTCAAATGGTGAAGCTGCCGCATCTTGCTAGCTAACTTCCCAAACATCTTCTCGAAAGCTGCTGCATCTGTGGCTAGCTAGCTATGAAAACTTCTTCTTCTTCAACCGATGATACCACTACATCTTTGGCTAGTAGGCATCCCATCTTCTTCTTCTCTTCTTCTTCGTCTTCTTCTTCTTCAAATCCTCAACCCCCAACTCAGCATTGTAGCTTGAGTTTCTCCAAATAAACTCGGATAAGCCACTGCATCTTTGGCTAGCTAACTTTCCATTCATCTTCTTCAACTACTCAACCCCCAACTTCAGCTTTGTAGCTTCAGATTCTCCAAACAAATTAGGTTATGGTGCTGCTTTTTCTTGGCTGGCTGGCATTCCTTCAATCGAAAACGCCGCTGCATTTTAGCTAGCTGGCGGAACATTTACATCTTCAGCTTTTCTGCTTCGGATGGATCTTCAAAGTGGTAGAGATATGTTGCCGTTTTTTTGTGTTGGCCAGCATTCCATCCACAAACAGACTGAAATCAGCAGGGGAGTGCTTTGTTGGCTACTTCCCGCTGCTTCTCCAACATGACAAGAATATGTTGCTTCTTCGTTAGCTAGCAAGCATCTGAGATATGGGTTGGATATGCTGCTGACGATTTTGCTAGCTAACATTCCATCCGAAAAAGAACAGAAGTCAGCAAGGGAGTGCATTGTTGGCTACTTCCCTTGCTACAACTTTGGCTGCTGCCATTCTCTTCTTCTTTGCTGAAACAAGAACAACTTTCTTCTACTCTCCATATTGCTATTTAGTTTTTAATGTGCTGTAACTAAACTCTGCAGCTCCCTTCTTCTTTATTTGTTGTTGTTCTTTGACAAACTCAGACTCGGGAAGTTTAGATTCTTGTTGTGCAAGTGTTAGCAGTGGCTTCTCCTTCCCACACAATCATGAAACCCGGCATAAAACATTCAACCTTTTGAGGTTCTGCAAGGAAAAAGTCCCGACAATCTACCCACTCTTCATAGGCTCAATCACAATCTCACTAAAAACCTGCTCAATCACAGCTTGCAAAGCTTCCAATTCATTCACTCTAATGGAAACTAATTTAAGGGCAGCTTTTTTCGACTCATTTAACTTATCAGTTTGAGCCTCAAATTCGAAAAAGTTATTGTTTGACCCGGATTAGTGCCGGGTGATTAGTGTGGAACCTTGATCCGGACTTCCTTGTCTGATCTCCTCGGGAGAGGAAGAATCCTGTGGAGAGTCGGGGGCGGCCCCCGTGATCTACACTCTGATGCTCAAGTTAGTAAGGATAGATGATAGTGTAGAGAGAAATGTAGAGAGAGATAGGGTTTAGAGAGAGAACCATAAGTGGTAAAATATGGGAAGGGAGAAAAGTCCCTTTGCTTGGAGGGTCTGGCCTCCTTATATAGGAGTCGGAGGCATCCAATGGACGCCTCCCGTTGTAATGGACGCCCCCGGTAGACTGGACGCCTCCCGTCGATGGACGCCTCCCGGTGATGGACGCCTTCGGGTAAAGGACGCCCCCGGGTGGACTGGACGCCTCCCGGTGTACTAGACCCTATAATGGGCTTGGGCCCAAGGTGAGATGCTTTGTGGTGGGCTTGGGCCAGTATTAGGCGGTTTAATACTAGACCCAACATTTTCCCCTTTGCTTCTTGTATTCTGTAAGAATGGAAGGAGCAAAATAACGCGTTAAGGTGTATTAACTTTCCTTACTTGCGAGTCTGCATGATGCAGTATTGCCCCTTGTGCAACCATTGCTTGGTGATGGATTCCCCTGGTGATGGACGCCTCCGGGTGACAAGATGCCTCCTAATGATGGACGCCCCCTAGTGGATTGGATCTTCGCGAGTCCGAACGATGCGGTTTGCCCTTTGTGCAGCCGTCGTTTTGCTTCTTTGTTTAGCATTCGATTTCTTGAGTTAGAGCTCTCAAGTCGTTTGAGATTTCCCCACTAGCCCATTGCCGAGCGTGCTAATATGTAGGCCGTAACTGTGAGTTGTATGTGTTAAGTTGTTGGACCGCGAGATGGGCATGAGCTTGTGTGCATGTTAAGCGTGAGTTGTTGACTGGATATTAGGCGTTAGCTATGTGCTAGGGAGGGCAACCCCCACGACTTGAGAGTTTTAACTCAAGGCTACGTTTGTGTTTTGAAGATGCCACACCTGATGGGAGGCGGGATCGTGTTAGCTATACCGATGTCGCGCCTACTTGGAAGCGGATTCGGGCTTCTACCTCGAGGGTAAGCATCGCTTAGGGAGTGGGATGCGGTTTTATATCTGCGAAAGATGTGAGTGACTAGTGCCCCATATTATTAGAGCACAAACATAAGCATAGCATGCGTGAAATATGTCATAGTATAGTGGAAATGATTCTCTTCATGGCATATGAGATATATTTTGTCTAGCATGATTCGTAATAAGTATCTTCATGGCATAGGATATAAGATATATCTTGAAAGGGAGAAATTAGTTATAGGAGACGCTGTAGAGAAATGGTCGACATAGTGAGAGTCGCATTTTGATTCACAAAGCTGCTTGTAGTGCAATGGTATGCGCATCATCTTTCCAATCGTTGACGCGGGTTCGAATTGTGACAGACGCATCCAAATTTTCTTTTTAAGTGAGCGGCTTCTTGTCTGCCTATGGATATGGAGTGGATGTTGACGAGAGTGGAGGTGTGGGCCTCTGATGCTTGGGTCGTAAAAGTTGGAGACGTGGGCTTCAGTTCGTCAAGGCGGTCCGCGTTGAAGGTGAGTTATGCATCAGAGATGGGTCGGGAGGTTGACCGCTTTGAAGGTTGGTTGGCCGGACGCGTGGATCTTGATGTAATACGTGGCGGGACTTGGAATAATGGGCTTGGTCGGAAGCGGGCCTACATAATGGTTGTATTAGAGACGTGCCCTGGTCTGGATGTGTGCTTGGTGTGCTGGAGCGGACCGCATTGGTGATCTTTGCTTGCAGATATGGGCAGAAGGCGGTTCTTGCATGTTGGGCTGGGTGGATGCTGCACGGGCTACTTGTTGAAGGCGGGCTACTCTGTCGATGGACGTGAAGCGGTTGCTAGTCGGTTGGAAGCAGAAACAAGCTTGGATGCGAAACACAGCTTTCTATGCGTGATGGCCCAATTGCAATGAGTGATTCTGAAGGTTGCGAAGCGGTCTTGTTGATTTGGGCCTTAGAGATGGGCCTCAGCGAGTGCCCTAGGGTAGTGAAACCCTTGCTGCAGTAGGGAGAAAGTGGAGATTATGTTTAGCCGACCACGTTTCCCAAGCTGGCATCATTTGTCCGAGATTGCCTCGGTAACTCCGCCAGTCTCCTCTTTTTCACATAGACTGCTTTTTCTGAAAAAGTAAAGTGACCTTTCTCTACTTTAGGTACATGGACAGGTCTGTTTTTTGACTTTGAGAGACAAAAGTTGGAGAAGGTTGAGAACGAGTGGGTGACAGGAGCGGCGGCCACTAGTTCTTTTCATCGTCGGAGCTCCGGCAATGACATATCGCCGGCGACCTTTTGTTTTCCCTGCTGCTGCTTTGGTCGGACTTTGTCGCGGCTGTTGTTACTCGTAACTGTGTTGAGAGATGGGAGGAATTCCGAACGCCAAGATAGAGTGCCGAGTTCGCAAGAGAAGCGTCAAGCAGGTGGACTGTCCGACAAGGAAGCAGACTGGAGAAGAAGATGAACGCTCGCCGACATGAGAGAAGGGATAGTTGCTTGAATCCCTTTATTTTTTTTTTGTAACGAGGCAAAGATGAAGCCCCTGCCAATAATTATTATTGCCTCACTACTTTCCTCTAGATCTAGGATCTATTCAGTGGGATTTTGTAGTCGGAGCCGTCGGTGGTAATTAGTGGAGGAAGAATCGATTTCTTCTCCTCCTTCAGATACCAAACGAGAAGAATACCAAATCCTGGCCCCACGGTGGGCGCCAAAATGTTTGACCCGGATTAGTATCGGGTGATTAGTGTGGAACCTTGATCCGGACTTCCTCGTCTGATCTCCTCGGGAGTGGAAGAATCATGTGGAGAGTCGGGGGCGGCCCCCGTGATCTACACTCCGATGCTCAAGTCAGTAAGGATAGATGATAGTGTGTAGAGAAATGTAGAGAGAGATAGGGTTTAGAGAGAGAACCATAAGTGGTAAAATGTGGGAAGGGAGAGAAGTCCCTTTGCTTGGAGGGTCTGGCCTCCTTATATAGAAGTCGGAGACATCCAGTGGACGCCTCCCGGTGTACTGGACCCTAGAATGGGCTTGAGCCCAAGATGAGACGATTTGTGGCGGGCTTGGGCCAGTATTAGGCGGGTTAAAACTAGACCCAATAGTTACCTTCCTTCCGAAGATACTCTGTTTGATGCTTGAATTGAAGGGACCAGGCTCGTAACTCCATGCCTGTCTTTGCCTTTCGAGCCTCTTCCAGGAGCTTCAGGGCTTCAGTCTCCTACTTCTGCTTTGACATTACCGGCATGTGAGCTTCCTTTACAACCTTATATGGCTCTCGTCTGCCAGAATGATAGAGATTCCCTCAGCGACACCTTCGCCGGCTTGAGTCGACGATGGAAATCCTCTCGC